AGTTTTTTGAATAACTTAATCTCCCATGTTCAATGTATTAATGGTCGTATTCTTAACTTTGATATCTGTGCGAAAGATAGGAGAAAAGGGACATGTGAAACCTGCAAATTATTTGGACTCCCATGAAAAGTTTCTAATAGGAGTTGCAACAAAGGGAGGTACTCAACTATATATATATATTTTGGAATTTATAATAGAATTGCAAATGCATTAAGAAGCTTTCTATCAGACCTCTAACTAACTTGGTTCTTTTTCTTTTTATGGTCATCGTGGGAATATCAGTGGTCAAGTTATTCAATGCTGTAAGTTGCAGTACACATTTCAAAGTTGATACTTCTGTTTTATAAAAAGTTTTATGCTACTTTCAGCTAGCTCAAATATAACTGCTTATGTGATACAGGTTAACAAAGCACAACATGCTCAAAAAGGCCTAAATCGCTCAAGGTCAAAAGATGAGAAAGGTAAGGACAGAATGCCGACGTATTGATGATGTGATTAGTTCTTTAATTTTTGAATGGTTGCTATTGTTCCTCTGTTGGTAATTCTTGTACAATTTACAAAGTAAGAGGAAGGGAAATATTATTTAGAAGATTTGATTTGTCTTTGTGTGCTTTGACCTCTAATCATCCTCTCCATCTTCCTCCATCAGAGAAGTTTAACATTTTCCTTGCTAAGTTGATTAGTTGTATTTTCATTAACCATGTTCGGACAAGGGATAATCCCAAGGCAGTGAATGGCATTTTCTTCTTCCAATCGCAGCATCCTGCATGTTGGACTGGTAATCTGATCTTAGTGCAAAACTTGGAGATTCTGTTGGAAAAATTATTTGGTATTCAGTGTCCGATATCAAATTCCTAATGTCGGTGCTCATGCTGTTCTTGAGTAGGATCTTTCAAATTCTTATTCCCAAGTGAAATAACTTGCATTGCGAGATCATAAGGGGTTGTTCTGTTGCTTTCGCTGAGTTACACTATGTCCCAAATTTCCTATATAGGTGCTTTCAAAGACGTCTATAAATGTCTTGGGTCACTCCACCTATTACGTTAAGGTTTAGGTTGGATATATTCTTTCACCGGGTATCGGAACTGATTTTCGACAAGCCCAGTCTCACACTCATAAGTCCACGTGTGAATCCTTTAATCAGATTACACGTGTCGGACTGTGTTGAGATATATAAATGAACAATAGCAATCAACTCGTTTTTGGTTTTCACGCAGTTGAAGAGTGCTTATAGTACTTCGTGAAAAGGCGTTTAAACTACAGAGCAGATAGGAAAAGAACACATACTAGCTTAGTGAAATTCAATTTTCCTTCTCTATCTGGCCATGATAATAAAGATTGAATGGTGAAATTTGTACCTTGCATTTATTCAAATTTTCCGTCTTACTTTCTTTTGTTTTTCACATGCACTAATGAAACATAACCATCAAGAATACTATCTCTTTTTCGTGCAATAAGGTATATAGCCTGCTACAGATTCTCATTTGTAATTTAAAGCTATGGTAAAAACATAGAGTAATGCCCTAAATACCGATGTTATCCTAGTGTCACTCAGTTTATCATATGCTGTTAGTATCGAGGGGAAGTGAACTCCGCACATGCCGTTTTACCGTTTACATGATAGAAGTAAGAAGCTTGTAATGGAATTAATTACCTTATTTTATCTTTTGATTACGGTAAATATTCTTTTTATGATGGGAAACTGCCATTTTTATCTTTATAATTGCAATTGATAACAAATTCTTGATAATTCAATTTGGAATAGTTCAGATAAGATTAACCTTAAGAACTTTTATATTGTATCCCGTACAATAACTTCTATTTTCTGATGTGTAGTAATAAAGAAGAGACGGAGAGAAGTCTTTTTCTCCGAATTGGGCAAGACACCATCACAAACAGTTGCGGCTGGGTCAAAGGTCAACTCTCTCTCTCAACTAAGCATTATGATCATTTGGGAAAATTTCTTTAATTATTTTGTAACGTCATTTCATTTAGTATCTTATCTTGGGCTACTGCATTTTTTTTGGGGGAGTCGGGTGGGAAAGAGAAACCATGTTGGCTCGTATCAGAAAAGAGAGAATTTTCATGTTGCCTCTGGTTGCTTTTTTTCTTTTTCATTTTTCCCTTGTCAAATTTGCTTCATAGTTGAATGAGTTACTCATATATAGGAAACAACGTATCTGATAATGTGATTTATTAGCGGTGTTTCAACAGAAACAATTATTTAAAAGTAGGAATTACCAACTATTTTGTGAACAGAAGGCAAAAACAACTTGAACATGGCGGAGTAGATATTTTTCAAGTTCTTATCCAAACAAAAAAATAAAATAAAAGAAAAAAGAAACGTTTTCAATATTCAACCATGCAGCCCAGTCATACAATGTTTGCCTTCTTTTCTTATTATGTAGCTTAATTTCATACAGGCTGGTGCATCGAATGATGAAGGTCCCTCATGGGCTCCTCTACGTGATAGTTACATGTTGACTAACCCCAAGTTAAAAGACTGGGATAAGAATGCGGTAAGGATAACTTACTTAAATTCTGCAATTACCGAGAGATAACCTCAGTCTCCCTCTTTGCAAATGATCAATGTCATCTGATGTTCATGCAGGACACAACTGTCGCAGACGACCTGAGGGTGCCGGCTGATGCAGATTCATCTGATGATGAATAAGTTCACTGAAAGTTTGATGTTCAACTATCTGCTTCAAGCATACTGGGATGTCGAACACAGAGAGAATTATATCTTCAATGCAGGGAAGTGGATGCCTAGGGATAGTCAAATTAATGCTGGAGCAACTTTCTTTGACTGTACAGAGATCCTCCTGTTGTTAGCTGATGCTATTTATTTATATTAAAGAGGAAGTTTTATCCTGGCTTATGCAATCCTCTTTAAGATATGACTTTTAAGATATTATTTCTGAATTCTCTTTATTTGTTATCCATTCTTCCTGCTAGTGGGGATATAACTGGTCTGTAACATTATCCCAGTATTCAACAAGGTTGATTTACAATGCGGAATCACGTTGTGTTGTCTTGTGTTTTCCAAGATCGTGTAACCAAAGATATTGTCTTTATAAAGCTGGGATGCTACATATGTTGAGCTTACATGGCGAAGTTAGGATTCATATAGCCGATTTCAACTTGTTTGTGATTGAAATGTAGTTGTTCTATTACTGGTTCGGCTAGGCCGATTTGGCACTGTGGAGTGTGGTCTGTGGACTCACTTTGCATAGCAGCATTGTCAAGAATTGTTTAACCAAATATAGTTTAGCTTTTATAAGTTGGGATACTACTGCTCTGTCAAATTTCCCTCATCTTTTGTTGGCAAAATCATTTAATCTAAACATGTTTAGCTGAAAAACTGTCCCTTGCTACATTAAGGATGAACCTTGTGTATCAAAATAAAATAAACACTCTAATGTCTTAGTTATTACTCCCCGGGTTCATAATAAGTGATTTTTTGGTCTTTTAACATAATCAAGAATGAATTAACTATAGTTTTTCAAATATGCCCCTATTTACATATCACAGTGTGTCAAGTTAACAATATCCAAAATTTAATTAAGGGTAATTTAGTCAAAATACTTATTTGTTTTCTAGAAGTTTGTATTTTATTAAGGAGTGTGCCAAAGACAAAAAAGTCACTTATTGTGGACCGGAGGGAGTAGTCATTTTGACAAACTGCCTTTGTTTTGAGATATTTTACGTCTTAAGAAAAGTTAAATCATGACCAAATACATATACAGACTATTAAACTTGCTCAATTTTTCATTTTGGCACTTTAACTCAGCCTTGTTCCATTTTGGCACTCCAACCCCATTTCTTTTGTTCCACTTTGACACAAAAAAATTTCTCTCAGGTAAAAATGCAGTGCGTGCAAATACCCAGTTGCTACCCTCCCCACCCCCACCTCCCCACCCCGCAATTTTTTTTTACTTTTTTTTTGTAATTTCAAATTTTTCGTTTTTTCTACCCACATCCCGGGGAAAAAATATTTTTTATATATATTTTCAGTAGTAACTACGAGTTCAACTGAACCCATAACTTTTGACGCGGAGTAAAAATTTGTATGTAAAAATTTATCAAAATTGTAAAAAAAAAAATAGATATAAACCCATAACATTTAAAAATATAATGGGTTCTTTTGTTCCACTTTGACACAAAAACTTTTATCCCAGGTAAAAATGCAGCGCGGACAAATACCCAGCTGCTACCCCCACCCCATTGCCGCCCCCCACCCCCCGCATTTTTTTTTGTAATTTCAAATTATTATTATTTTCGTTTTTTCTGCCCCCCTCTCGTGGAAAAAATATTTTTTTATATATATTTTCAGTAATAACTACAGGTTCAATTGAACCCATAACTTTCGACGCGAAGTAAAAAATTGTATGTAAAAATTCATTAAAATTGTAAAAAAAATAGATATAAACCTATAACTTTAAAAATATAATGGGTTCAATGTTAAAAACATTAAAATTGAATCTGTAGGATTTAAATTCTGGATCCGCCTCTACGTTGAGAGTATGAAATTTGGCTTAAAAAATGGCTCTCACGTGCCTACAAGGGTGAGGCAAATCACACATGGAATCTAGTCAGCTTTTGTGTCAAAGTGGAACAAAAGAAATGGGGTTGGAGGGCCAAAATGGAACAAGGCTGACTTTAAAGTGCCAAAATGAAAAATTGGACCAAGTTTAATTGGTTGTTTATGTATTTGACCTTAAATCATTTATTATTTTTGGAATCTAATAAGACAACATGAAGGGGAGCTTTGGGTAACTGGAAATTTGTTGTCATGTGACATCCTAGGTCACGTGTTCACGCTGTGGAAACAGCTTCTTGCTAACTCTTACTCGGACCCTGCGCATAGCGGAAACTTAGTGCCGGGCTGCCCTTTTTCTTTTTCCAACGACAGAACATGACATTTTATATCCATACTCCATTTAACCAGCTAAATTTCGAGGCAAATCCATCACAATATTCAAGAAAGAATAAGGTCGTAGATGCACATTATGATTATTACATAATGACCAGAAAATGGTTTCCACAATATACAGTATTCCTCCAATATGTTATACATTTCATAGGACAATAAATGAAAAAATTACAAAACAAGGTACATACATCTATCATATGGAGACCTCATTGTATCTTCTTATCTTCTACACACTGGCTAATAATATACATGACAGTATTACATAATAGCCAAGGAATAATCTCAGCCCTTAAACCTAAAAGGACAGATGAATCTGTGGGGATTTAAAATGTGTTGCTCATTGTATCTCTTTATCTTCTATACACTGGCTATAGTATCCATGACAGAGTTACAAACAGCCAAGGGATCTCAGTTCTTAGACCTTAAACGACAGCTGAACTTGTGGGGACTTAAAATGTGTTAAAGCCACCTAGTTAGAGTTGTAAGAACAGAAGCAAGCTAGAGGAAACCCAGAGTTGTCGACATGCAACATAAACACAATCGAGAAAGCAAATCTTAATTGGTTTCTGGAGCTCTTTCTCTGCAGCTCTCTTAACATGATTGACAAAACGACTGCACGTTCATTTTTTTTCCTTTTTGGATGATGAAGTTGAACCTTGAGAGGAGTAGCAGCAGAGAAATCTGCTTTCTGGATCCAGCTTCCTTGATTGGAAACATTGTAATGTCCTGAGAAACAACCTACTCTTTGTCATTGCAACAATAAACACAGCATCCTTTCATCCATTTGCTTGAAACCTCAACCTAATTTTCCCCACTTAAACTGTCCATTTTTCTTCTTATATGTATTGGTAAATTTTTTCACAATCAATAGCTTCTGGTCTCGCTCAGCGGATCATAGTCATAAGCATCACCAGCCTTGACAAACCGTCCCTTCACACGCCTTCTCACATCTGCTCTTGCCTTGCGAGAAGCATATCTTACTCGCTTATCAAATCTGTAAAAAGGAAGTTATAAAAAAAGGTGAAAAGAGAACAAGTGAAAAGCCTACAACCGAAACAAAGCTTCTTGAACCATGGTATATATAACCTACACGGCCACGAAATCTCAATGGTGGGCAGAGTTTATTCCTATTTTAGTGTTGGATAGAAGGACTTGAAATAAAATGAGGAAAATTTGAGGATGAATAATATGCCAAAAGAAATTCTGGTGCTTTGTGTCAAACCAGGGAGTGCACAATTACCAAAATAGCTTTTTGATATACTTATTAAAAGAAAACTTACTGGCGTGTCTTCTTCTTTTCCTTGTAGCGTAAAACAGCATCACTCCGACTAGTTGATGGCATTGAAATTTCAGGACATGGGGAACACCAAGGTGGCTCTCCCATGAGAAGCATTGAGGAGGCTCCACAGTCTTGATAATCTCCGGCGCTGCTCTCTCCAGTGAGGTTTGAAACTGAGAGGTTGGACTGTTGCCTCGCAAAGCAAAGGGCAGGTTCTGTCTTGCAGCTCATCATGGATTCTTCGGACGCTGCATTGCTACAAGCTGGCTGCACTGTATTTACCCTTCTCACTGCTGACCCCTGGTAAATAAATACAGATTTAAGTTCATCCGTTTTTTGAAACAACTATGTAGAGAAAAGTCAGTCGTATGCACATCTTTTTAATCTGTTCAACGTCCAATCATGAAAGTCGGAACTATTGTAATCTTTGCAACCAGACAATCTTATTAGACATCAGATTTAATGTTATTGATTTGACAAATACCAAACACTCAAAGTTGATCAATTTATGATATTCCTACACATGACTCATCTCAATGCACCCTTAGGAAAAAGTGAATCTTACTGTTTCCTGACAAGCTAGCTTCCAACCCCTACCCACCCCACCCCAATCAGTATATATTTTTATACATACATGCAAACACACACACACACACATAGACACATGTATGTATAAACAGGGATATAAAGGATCACAGTGTACAAGATGGTTCGGGCACATTCAGAGGAGGAGCACTGATGCACCGGTGAGGAGGTGTGAGCGACTGGCTGTAGTGGGCACGCGGAGAGGTAGAGGGCGACCTAAGAAGTATTGGGGAGAGGTGATCAGACAGGACATGACGCGACTTAGGATTACTGAGGACATGGCCCTTGACAGGGAATTATGGAGGTCGAGCATTAAGGTTGTAGGTTAGGGGAAAGTTGTGAATATTTCTACAGCACAATAGAGTGAGACTAGCCAATTAGGAGTTAGACTAAGAATGCCATTGGTCGTCTATTGATGCAGGGCTTTACCTGCTAGTTTTTACTATACCAGCCATCTATTTCGTATTTCGTATTCTGTAGTTCATATCTCTTAAATTGCTGTTATTTTATTATGCATTATTATGGTACTAATATATCGTCTCCTGTTGCTTTTTTGAGCCGAGGGTCTCCTGGAAACAGCCTCTCTATCCTTCGGGGTAGGGGTAAGGTCTGCGTACATATTACCCTCCTCAGACCCCACTTGTGGGATTATACTGGGTCGTTGTTGTTGTTGTAGTGTACAAGATATAAGATGATCTCAAAATATTTATACAAGTCTGTCCTATCAACTCTTATCCATGATAAAAGTCCAGTTTGGGAGGGGGTGGAATGCAGAGGCAAAGGTTCTACAAAAAAAAATAGGAGTATGTCGTTGCGTACAAAATCTACTAGCCAAGACCAATTACAACGTCCAGAAAACTAACTTTATAAAACACGTTAAATTAGGCCCAAATCTAGAGAAGAGGCAAAAATACCATAGAAGAACATTATATGCATTTAATGAGCATCTTTGCCTTATCAAAAAAATAAAAAAATAGAACAAAACATGCTTCAACAATTAAAAAAATTTGATACACTATCTAGTTCATAACAAAAGAGAAAGAAAACATCAAGAGCAGACAAATTTATTTGTACTTGGTCAACCCAACAGTAAAAATGATGGCCTACCTCACTCGTCAAAAAACTAATAGTCCGTAATAAGTCTATTTTAGTGTTAACGAACACAGAGAAAGTAGATAATGTTTACACAATGCAGTAATTCTATAAAGTATGAACCACCTCGACAGCATTGTCACCCTGGCAACTGGACTCAGCAACTGGCATGTCCTTCATCCCAAATAAGCCATCAATGTCTTCATTCTTAAACAGCTGATCAGGATTATCAAGAGAAACACCAAATAGCTCTTCATAATTTCCAATACTCAAGTCCACTTCATCCATATTGAAATCATCATAAAAAGGATCATCATCAAATAAATTTGAGCCTTTTGTTCCAGAATTGCACACCTGAACGTATATAAAGATACGAGCTAAAAGAAACTCTCAACAAGTGAGGAAAAGAAAAACAGCCATGCTTCGAGTAGATAAAAGACATCTTTATGGTCTTGGGAAGAAGTCAACCTCTATAATCCCCCCTCCCCCTACTTCTATTCCTGGAAAACGAAAACATAAGCAATATCTGCTAAAGTTGCTTGATCTGGAAAAATAATGTACCGAGGTGAAAAAAAGAGAGAAGTGATCATCGTTAAGAATAATCCTAGATGGCAAATAACAAATGATACAGAGGAAAGCATGTCCTCAAGGAAAGGAATGCACTAAATTTGAGATGAAAATTTCTTTGAAACTGCATCTTTTCACTTTGTTGGAAATGGACAAGAAATAGAGAGTTAACAAATCTAATGATTTCATGGCAGAACGAAATCATCCTTCGCCAATTTATGGGAATGCAACACGCAAAACATTTGAATGCACAAGGAAGAATGTGGAATCATTGTTTGAAGACAAATGAAAATATCAAATATTAATTTTTTTTATGGAAAGGTAAAAATAGCAAATATCAATTTTATCTTCAATTGGTATTTGGATCTCTTAGAACTCCGCTTATCTCCCGTTTAGCATGAGAAAAAGGGAATATAGCACTTGCAAACCCAAAATTGAGTTTCTTGGTACATCGTGAGGAAAGTGAGGAGCAAGACAGCCTTAGCTTCAGAGCCAGGAGCAAAATAGTCAGAAGAACAGCGACTTACTCATTGCTATTCAGTTCTATACAATCAAAGGACAGGATAGTAATGTTTTTTGGTGAGTAAAATTGGAAAGCTAATTTCCACTTCCACATTATATCTAGCTAAGTTACTTTACTTCTGAACAAATGCATCTCTGAGAACTTAGAATACCTTTGACCAAGTTAAATTTGTGGATCCACCAGGCGGTTCCACATTATGTAGCTTGTTATCAAGACTCGGCATAGATGATCCCATAAAATCATTTGCTTCAACTGCAACGGACATATCTTGAGATTTGTCCTTTGCTTGAGAACCTCGGCTATCTCCAGATCGGCAATCAGTAATGCTCATTGAACCCATCCCCTGCTCACAAGTCGAGTCTCCTACTGAAGGGTTATCTAATAGAAATGACCAAATAGTAGAGAGCTCTACCGCGGAAGGACACCCAGTATAACAACTAAGTGCTTGTCTCTTATGTGTTGAACCTGAACTAGAATTAGCATGACCTATCCAATCACAATTTTGGCATAGAGAAATCCTCTCTTCGATGCATCTAAAAATAGCTGGTTGTGAATTACATCTTTCACATACAAGTGTCCGAGAATGACGTTGCGACAGGGCATTTGCAGAATGGACATTTCGATCACACGACAAACACAAGCAAGCTGCATCAGACCGGCAATAGACAATTGATCGTTGCTCCCCGCAAAATTCACATGTATAACCCATCACCTTCTTTTCTCCACTAGTTATTCCTTATATGAAATAACAGCGTACAAATCTTCAGGCCTCTAGCACAAAGTTTTAACTTTTTGATAAAGTTAATACTTTTGAGCAATAGAAATTGCTCTCCCTCGAGCAGAAATGAATTTGTGCTACTAACTGTTACAAGGAAAAAGAATCTGCATCATTAAAGGAGACACTAAAAAGGAGAAGCAAATTGAAAAAGAAGAGAATACAAGCCTATCCAGCATTTCTTGAGGTGCCTAATCCAAAAAAGTATTAAAATAAATTCTCACTTGATTCAAGAGTCCAAACTGAGATTTTGGTAAAACAAAATTTTATTCTGAAACAATACACAGTGGCAGTTAAAAAGGAAAATGCAAGGGATAAAAGATGCCATTTCAATCAGTGAAGGAAAAAAGTGCTCCAAACAAATTGGGAATCAAGAATCCAAACAAAAAGTTGAGAATTTTTCACAGAGCCACTGCTCTATTTTTTAGGCATCATTATCTACAACAAAAACATTTTTTTTTCTTTTCAAGACATCCATAAAACCATCATTAGTAAATATTTTGGAACTGAACAAAATTCAACATTAACCAAAACAGCTATAAATTCATTTAAAATTTACTTCAAACAGGAAAAAAACAATTCCAGCAAATTTATAAAAACAAAGAAATTACACAAAAAACTGAACCAAAACACCTACATATAGAAAAATATGGACAAAATAACTGATAAACAGCAAAATTCTGAAATGAACAGTTATAGTGTGAGGTAGCTCCAAACTTTGAGGAATCTAAAAACAGATCAAAGAACAGAAACAAAGCAACCCCATTTCAAGGTAAAAGGAAATGAAGAAAGTAACTAACTTTTTACCTAAAATAACTGTGAAGTTGGCAGAAAAAGAATTTACACACTACACGAGAAAACAAAGTACGGATAAGCCCTTTTTAGCTTGCAGCTACCAAAGGTACACCTCAAAAACCCTAAGAAAAGTTCAGACCTTTCCACTCTCTCTCTCTATAAAAAATGTTGTAGTTTTTGAAGTGTTTTTGGTGTTGTATGCTGTGAGAATTGAGAGTTGCTGAAAATAATTAAATATATAGTGAGCTGTCAAAAAGTGCAGGAGAGAGAAGGAAGAGGTGGGACCCACTGGGAGGGGTGTGATGTGGGACCCTGTCACTTTCTTGAAAGGATAAGTTTGGCCCCTACTCTCTTTTTACATTTTTTACGATTACCTTCTATATGTTGATAAATAGAAAAAAAAACATTATGCATCGTATCATCTAAAAAATAATTATAGGAACCTAAAAAAGTAAATGAGCTATCTACCGTAATGTGTTTATATATATATATATATATATATATGTATGTATGTATGTGTGTGAGAAAATTATTATTATCAGGATTTTGTAAGTGGTGTCACATAATGAACGACTAACAATTCACTTTAACAATATCATATTTAAAAAAATACCATTCAAATTCTTCTAATAATAAACCACAACTCAGGTATATTACTACAACTCTTATCGATGAGTTTTCATTTTAGAAATGTATCAAAATAACCTCATTCGGGATAATATTAAATACCTTTTTAAAGAACCAATCAATCACACGAAATTTTATCATTTATTTGATTTCACAAATCGTTCTTAATCAATTTCATGCCACGAGAGAAGATAAAAAGAGAAAAGGAAGATTAAAAAAACTTGGAATACCAGCCAAATAATTTACTAACGCAAGATTAACCATGACTCTTGACATATCAGATCAATGCTCTCTAATTACATTAATAGATTAGTCGTTCAAACTCCACCGAACACAATGTTTTTTTAGTAGACGATGCAATAAAAAATTAAAACAAAAAATGGGGCAAGAGAAGATTCACAAATCGTTCTTAATCAATTTCATGCTGCGAGAGAAGATGAAAGGAGAAAAAGAAGATTAAAAAAACTTGAAATATCAACCAAATAATTTATTAACGCTAGATTAACCATGACTCTTGACATATCAGATCAATGCTTTCTAATTACATTAATAGGTTAGTCGTTCAAACTCCACCGAACACAATATTTTTTTAGTAGACGATGCAATAAAAAATTAAAACAGAAAATGGGGCGAGAGAAGGTTCACAAATCGTTCTTAATCAATTTTATGCCGCGAGAGAAGATGAAAGGAAAAAAGAAGATTAAAAAAACTTGGAATATCATCCAAATAATTTATTAACTGATAGAAACTAAGCGTCCACCAAACTATATAGAGAACCGGGTTCTCTATCAGTTCCCACCGTAAGCAACAGACTGGAAGACCAAACAGTATAGGGAACTAGGTTCTCTATTTGTTCCCACAGTAAATCGGCAGTAAATAAAGAACACAGAGGAATTTTACGTGGAAAACTCCCAGCTCAACGGGATTAAAAATCATGACCTACCCTTGTAGGATTTCAACTTCACTACTGAGCAATCTTTAGATTACAACCTATTGTAACCTAGGAATTAACCTCTTAATCCATCACTAACTTATAACTACACTATTACAAGCCACTTTGTAATAACTCTATTACAAAGACTTAATCACTCACTAACTTGTAACAACATTATTACAAACCATATTGTAATAACTCTATTACAAAGACTTCACAACTCGACTAACTCTAGCCAAGATACAAACACAAGGGTTTATGATTTACAAAAGGGTTTCCTACACAATGCTTCTAACTAAGCTAAGTAGGAGTTACAAATGAAGAACAAATAACAAAGACTCAACAAACCTAAGGACTTAAGATATCTTCAACCTTTGGATCTGGTCCTTGAGGTTGCAGCAGCTTTGTTCTTGAGAGAGGTTGTAGCTAGTACTTCAGAGAATATTTCCTTTTTGATTTGCAAGTGTTCAAGTGATTGTGTTTTACCTCCCTTGTTGTTAATAATACATGTGTGACATCACATACCATGATGTAAGCAAGGTAGGTAATAAACTTTCTGTAGAAAGGTGAGTGATGCACTATTCCTGCACTGTAGCGTGTGCATGCAGCACTTTCCAGCTGGAGAGTTGACTTCGTACAGTCACCTCGGAAACCGGTAGGGACCTGTTCCCTCAGCTGTTCCTTCGACTCTGAAGAGTTTAGCCATATCGCAAACTGGATACCAAACTGGAACATTGTGATTTTAAAGTCTTGAGAATGTTTGAAGCTGTAGAGTTGACTATACGACGACCAGCGGAGCTGATCCATATATGTTCCCTCTGCTGTTCCTTTATCTGATTTCGTTGAGAATTGAACCAGACATCTAACTGGTTACTCTAAACGCAAGAGAACTAATTGTATCAGGTTCCTTATTTATTTCTCTCATGAAGTTTGTCAAATCATCAAAACAAAAGATGCATAACTTATCAATTTTTTCCTTTTTGATGATGACAAACTTAGAATTGATATTCCCCCTAAGAACTAGATCTCCATATTGTTCCCCCTGTGAATTAGTCATATTCCCCATGAGAACCAGACCAAATGAATTGATTACAACTGGTTCTTCAATATTGTTTCGCAAATCATCAAAACACAAGATACCATAACTTATCAATTTCCCCTTTTTCGATGATGACAAACCCCAAATTGATATTCCCCTTGAGAATCAGATTCCTTACATGTACTGATCATATCTGGTTTGTACCTGGTTCCTTGAGAACGTTTGGCAAATCATCAAAACATAAAACATCATAACTTAGATCAATTTCTCCCTTTTTGATGATGACAAACCTAGAATTGATGTTCCCCTTGAAACTAGATTCCTCACATGTTCCCCTTTGGATCAGACCTATAATCAACCTGCTATCAGCAACATTTCCCCTGCGAAGCAGAGCTATCTTTCATGCACAACACAACATATCAATTCGATTCTGTTCCTCCCCCTGTTGACACTTATGTAACTTCCCCCTTTTGGCATCATTGAAAAGAATAACAGAAGAAGTGCAACCAAAAAGAAGTTCAGCAACATTAACTCATGTCATTTAGGCAACACAACATAAACAATAACAAGAACAACAAGTGAATGTCATTGCACAAAATAGAGTGATTGCCCATAGTAGAGTAATTATAACAAAAGTATAGTAGTTTCAATAATACAAAATATGACAATTTAAACAACTAAGTACCAATGTCATCAAATATAGGGATCAAAAGAAGATAGGAATTCGACGGAATTTGGAAGGAGTGAAAAACATAGATCACTAGGCAGGAAGAAAAGTAAGGGGCTAAGGTCTTGATGAGCTTGTCCATCGTTCATTCACTCTCCTTTGATCAATGATCAACTGCTCTCTCAGTTCCTCCACCTGTTTCCTCAATCTTTCATTCTCACCCTTCAACTTAGCATTCTATTCTGCCAATGGTCCACGAGGACCTGGTTCTCTACCTATTTGAGCAGGCTGAACCATTAATCAAATCACCAAGAATCTCCCCAAGCTTCTCCTCATCAAGAAAAAACTTAGTCTCATGCACATATAGCATCAGAGTATCACATAAAACATAAAAGTTTTTACTTTTTCTTCATAAACTTTGGGACTTGGAGGAACAAAGAGGTGATTCTGTTTTTGGAACTCAACAATGTCAAGAAGTTCCTCCATTTTTCAGCAATATCAGAGTCAACACTCTGCCTAACAACGCTTTTTGAGACTTCAGAGTCTTCTACCTCTCAAAACCTGATGACTCAACCTTTTGCTTTTGTAAGGAACCAAGTTCCTCAGTTACACTATCCTTTCTATCCTTGAGCAGCCATGTCTACCTCTTTTTCTTCTCAATCTGTTCACCCTTATTATCGGTTGCATTTTTCTCAGTCAACTTTCTTTTCTCCAATTTTTTTCACTTTATTCTCTCTTTCACAATCACATCAGTAGGTCACACCACTTTATCATCACTGGATTGGAAGTTCGTTTAAACACAGAACTCAAAAAGAAAAAGATCATCATTAAAATTGATTTCCTAAGAAGGACTTGAGGGATCAGGTCCCCCA